TTAATATATTAATTTTTCTTTTTTTATTGTCAATTGTAAATAAAAATATCTTACTTTTCCTTTTTCTTGTTGCTAAAATATAAAATTACTACTGCTATTGAATGAATTAATTATTGCACATTTAATGTTATAAAATAGCTCAAAGATAGTTTTCTTATTGCTCAAAAATTATTGCTATATCGTATCTTATTTATTGCTCATTCCAATATTTTTATTGCTCAAATAAATACCAGCCAAAAATATATATTTTTCTTATTAGATTATTCTGTGTGTACTGAATGACTCGTTTTTTCTTTGCTGCATGCCTACACTCTTTATTTACTTGGAAAAAAACTATTACAAGCATAAGAACGACGAATATTTTGGTATTGTATATACCGATAGATGAAGTATAGTTGGCCACGAGTTACTGTGTATGACTCATTTTTTTTCCATTAGTAACAGCGAATGAATAAGTTTCGACTCTATTTAAGATAACATGACATCATTATTACTATTCTGTCAAATAAAATGTGTGTATATGTCCGAAAATTACAGAACATTTACCGTACTATCTTCAATCAAGTATAACCAACTGAAACAGATTAAACAATGATGTTACAATATAACATTTTATGGCTTGATGCAAATTCGTTCGATCCAATGAGTACTTTTCGTGCTAAACTTGGTGACGTTCAAACATTCACAGATGTTAATAGTTGTATTAAGTACATACAATCTCATCCAAATGAATCCATTTATCTTATTGTTTCGGGTTCGTTGGCTAAAGAAGTCGTTCCAATAATCTATGAATCTCCAAATCTTGTACAAATCTTTCTTTTTTGCGGATCAGTTTCGGCTTATGCAGAATGGGGAATGGATTATTGTGATAAAATGATGATATTTGATCATGGAGATGATCTTTTAGAACGGTTATGGAATGATTTACAAAACAATTTACGGGAACATGCGACATTATGTTTAAAACGTGCGGAGGAGTATAAACAACAAGCTTTACAATATAAAAAGCCGTGTGGTTAATGAAAATCTCATTCAATAGAAGCTTTTTTTTGTTATCACTTTTTTTAATGGAAGTTTTTTTTTTTTTGTAACAGAAGTCTTAAGAATTTTGAATAGTAATCTAAAGATTTTGTGGAACTCACGTATATTTTCGAAGAAAATAGTCAGTGTAAGTTTTCAGTCCGAGGTTGGCAGCTCCCCACCCCATTACAGACACATACTAACGGAGAAAGAGAACATTACAGACATACTCCCCATTACAGACATACTCCCCATTACAAACACCCCACCATTACAGACAACTCCCCATTACAGACCTTGGCAACTTCATGAAAAAAAAATTCTGTTCGAAATTGAGAGATAAAAATATAGCATTTTCTAATAATCGATTATCTTTAGAAAAGAACTATTATCTTTTGGAAATTTTAAATATTGGGTATTTTGTCATTAGTATAATGAAACCAAAGGAGATATGTGAGTTCCACATTTCAGCCCCAAAATGGCTGCGCTAACAAGCTTTTTTGTTTGACCAATTTTCAAAAATTTTACTTCTTATTTTTCATATTAAAATAAAAACCTTTTCAATGGATTCTGAATTTTAGTATTCAATTCTACGCAATTGACAGTTCTGGAAAAAAATCCCTGCTTGTGCAAGATGCAATCTGTCATTGATTTAGCTAGTTTTAGACTATAGAACACAAGATGAACTCAACAAATATTTCTCGTTTAGTAGAAATTTTCTGTTATCTACACTTCAAAGAGGCTTAAGAATACCACCGAAGATAAATGGTAATAAGAACAATATCATTAAAAAGCGTTTGAATTATTTCTGAAATTGTTATATTACAAAGATCGTGAACAATCAATTCTAAAATAGAAAGAAATTCTCAGATTAACTACTTTGTTTTTTATTGAATATTTCCTTGATGAAAAGACAAAGAAAAATTTTTACGCATCATAGTTTTAATTAATATAGATGTAGGCGTGGGTTATCATGGACACGATAAGAACTCTTCCACTACTGTTTTTGAACTTAGAAAAGTTATCATCTAATGAGATCAATTATATATTTATTCGTCTCATTTGAGTTGTACAATGTAGGAATTGATCACCTTTGGTGTACGAATAAAAGAAATTTTCTACATGTTCCATAACCCTCGAAAGAAACGGTTTTATTATATCGTCTGATATCAAGGTTTTTTTTTTATTACTCTCAACTGTAGTCAAAAGAATAAACTCTATTTTGAAAGATAGGTTGTCAGAAACAATATATTCTATATGGAAAGGACAGCTCATGGAGTCTTTGTGCCAAACGATACTATTTGAAGTAAGACACAGATTCTCGGTTAGATATTCAGTCACCCATTTTTTTTCTCGTTGTACATCTCAAAGCTGCCAAATTGTATTTTTTTTAATCGAGTTGTCTACTGTCCATTCTCTTGTAGGCTAGAGCAATTATTTTAATGCTGTCTACAAGCCTTCATTTCAATAAACAGTTATATATGTACTCTGATGGAAAACATCGAAAATGGATAATAAAAATATTGATACAAATGTATATGGATAAAAACATCATGACCAACTGTGAAGAAGAGTTTTCCGAAGCCTTTTATGCTAAAACTTTCATAGGCTTTCAAACATCTTTCAAGTCAAAGTCTTTCATGTATTTTTGCTCTAGACACTTTGCTTTTTTTAACAAAACAACAATGAAGTTCCTACGATATTCCGTTACAGTGATATATCAAAAGCAAAACTAATGCAAAACTTAGAACAATAAAAAAAGGTTGTTTCATCATAATATTTTAATAATAATGAAACAATATTATTCATATGAGTAACTTAGCTATTAACTGTGCATTGTATAAATTTGTTATGGGTATAATTTTGATCAAAGAAACGAATCGCATTCTATAACTCACTGACTATTCATCACAGCTTTCGCAGTAGCTATTTTTTATTCATTAACATTGAAACAGTAAGTGAAATCAATACGTTTAATGTTCCCTATTAACTCAGCCATTTTTCTATCAACAATAAAAACTCCAAAAAATTACCTAATGATGGGTTTAAAATTATTTATTTTTTAAAATTACAATAAAAATGTTTTATTCCAAGTGTGGAATAAGTAACTTAAAGATGTTTAATTATCACACGTATATGTCATAAACATCTACTAGCTCCAAATAAAAAAACATCTTAAAATATGTTTTCCAATTTGTAAAACAGAATCAAAATGTTGAAAGTGATGACAGATTTTTGTTTAATTTTTATTTTATCTTGCATTTCAATAGCTGTGAGTTGTTGATTAAATAATAGAATAAAAGTCAGTAAAGATAGCATGAAAAATACAATCACTTTAAAGCATTATTTTAATCGTAATTAACGTATATGAATGAGCGAATATAGCGTCACAATTATACAAAAAAAAAGAGAGAATCACGTTAGATAAAATACGTCATCTTGAAAGTAAGGGTGCGACTGTGGTTGTGGGATTGTTTTCCTCCTTCACTCTCATTTGGACTCACGTGCATACCCACACTTACCCTCCAAAATATTTAGTTCTTTTTTAGATCAAATCTGAGTTCAAACCTTCTCGTATCAAATCCTAAGAGTTCGGATTTGTTGCATCCTCTAGTTTTTTTTCTCAGCTTGGGGGTATGCCTGCATGGCTTTAGAAATTCATTCCAGCCACAGTCGCACCCACCGACACTCACATCTATCCTCATTTCTAAATGCATATGGATTGATCGAGAACTCATTGATGTCTATGATCTTTATCATCTGTCATCTCGATATTTGTTCATTAGAAACCAAACAACAGAGCTTATTCGATGTATCCTTTTTGATCATATTAGAAGGCACATGATTCAATTCTACCAATAGTAAAATGAGATAACATTTTAAAAAGTTTGCTTTTATATTCAGGTCTGAACGATGAATTTTTAAAGATCAGCATAAAATTGCATTATTTTGGTTACTGAATCTGTGTTGAAGGTGATAGTATTGATTCTTGATTATTTCTAAAATCAATTCGATCAGCCAATGGTACATTTTTTGTTTCAGGTAGTAGGAAAGTTAATAAAAGTACCAAAAGAGCTAAAGCAGCATATACATAAAATGTGATAGACATATAATTTTCGTCAATATTAGCATCAATAACAGGTGCTAAAATAGCTCCTATCCTACTGATAGCAACTGCAAAACCATTGGCACTACTTCGAATCGATGTTGGAAACAATTCTGATATATAAATCCGGGGGTGTAACGATTCGTAACGAGAAATTTACAGGGCTTTCGTAATACGAAAGCCCTGTCATCGTTTTTACTACAGGGCTTTCGTAACGAATTTTGACAGGGCTTTCGTAACAAATTCTGACAAGGCTTTCGTATCAAATTTTGACAGGGCTTTTGTATCAAACTTATACAGGGCTTTCGTATCGTTTTTGACAGGGCTTTCGTAATCAAGTTCTTATTGCATTCATAACTAAAATGAAAGACTGGCACTAAAAAGAACAGGGCATTCGTTACGAATACCCATGCTTACAAATATAGCTTAAGTCATTAAGTGGGATCTATTCGTAACAAGTTTTATATACTTAAATGGTCCAAATACATGGTACTATACTGTGAATGAATTATTTGTATACATTCATAGATGTCGTTGTTATTTCTAGTTCTCTATGTTTTTCCAGAATTGTGTACGCCTTTTTTTGTGAAAGTTGTTGACTTAAAATCGAGGAAATCAATTATGTGTATTCTTAATTCTATTATCTGGATATTGTTCTCGTTCACTCTTCTCTCTTTATGTATTGCCTGGCTTTTGTTACTTTTTGTTGTTACTAAGAAAGAGATTTACAAGAAGATAAAAATTTGTCTATACTTATATGCTGGTTCTCACTTTCTACTTTTGAACTATTTATGTTATAATTTTGGTAGATCCCTAGTTTCAATATGAAATCCTGTCAGCAACATCTGACTAAAGATCATACCAAATCCTTTTATGTTACGATAGCCCTGTAAGAACGGTACGAAGATCCTGTAAGACCGATACGAAGACCCTGTCAAAATTGTTACGAAGGCCCTGTAAACTTGATAGGAAAGCTCTTTAAAAAATGATACGAAAGCCCTGTCTAAAACGATACGAAAGCCCTGTCGAAAATCGATACGAAAGCCCTGCTTTTTATGATTTATGCATTTTACATTGTTACGAAAGCCCTGCTTCTTACTGGGCTTTCGTAACCAACCGTTACGAATCGTTACCTTCCCATAAATCCATGTTATTGCTAATGATGCTGATACAGAGAATTTACCAAGGTGAGATATAATGACTGTTCCTATTGTAGTGTGTTTAGTCAATAATGGAATAAGAAAAACACATACACTTGTCAAACCAATAAACATCATAAAAGAATATTTTCAACCAAGTCGTCCAGACATAAATATATTTGCAGAAATATATCCACATATTTCAATAATCGATCCAATAGTCATAGCTATACATGGAGAAATATTCATTACAGCAAGTCCATCAGAAATCTTAATAAATAAAAACATTTCTGTAAATGCAATTATACTTGTGATTATTAAACGTTGAATCAACATTCTATTTGTTATCAATTTTAGAATTTTTTGTTTCAATGGTATTTTCATATGATTGATTTGTTCTTGATTCAATAGTTCTTGAAAAGTTGAGTTCCAATTATCTACTTTTTTACCATTTCTTTTACTTATTTTATGCAGTAGATTTTCTAATTGAATATATTTCTTTTTCGAATATAAATATATTGGTGACTCACTAATAAAATATAGATAAATTGATGATAAGCCAATAAATATTGTTATTGATCATAAATGATTTTGCCAATTTTTTATTACATAAGCAGATAATGTTGTTAATGTTTCACCAAATGCAAAAGAAGCTAAAGCTATATTACCAACAAGACTACGATATGAATAGCTTGTTAATTCAAGCATTAAAATAAAAACAAGACTACTTATTGATGCAGTTAAACCTAATACAAATTGATTTAGTAATAAAAGAGTAAATCTAAAAAGAGAAAATATTTTTATAGAAAAAAATATTTTCTTTTTTATTAAATGAATCCTATTTGAAATGAATTGACATCGGAACCCATTGCATTAGGCTTTGTAGTAAAATACAGATGAAAAGAAGTGTTAACGTAAGAAAAGTGACCATTGTTTTAC